GCATTATGTCTGCAGTCTGCGTACAGGTAGCGCCAGAAAAAGGATCGAGCGGCGCCCTCCGCGGCTCCAACCTCGGTCCATACACCGCCTTCAAGGAGTAATAGAAATCCTTGTGTTGGTGGTGTTCGGCGTAGCATGCCATCCGCTTCACCTTCTCTGTCCACCAAGCAATCCTGATGCGACGGAGCTCTCGAATCAATTGCTGTCGAATTCTGCGAAAATGACTCGCCTCGAAATCGTAAGGGTTATCCACATGTGCAGTCAACGCTGCATTCTTCGCCGACACCAATGCGATAATGGTCACATTGTTGTCATCAAACCAATCGCGCCCTATCGTTTACTCGGCAGCAGCAGTCACCTAGTCACGGATGTGGGGCCACAGGTCACTCAGCGAAAGTATGGATTCGACATCAACAAGGCGAGTAGTCATCACATCTTTATTTCCACCCTCTTCTTAGCAATACATAGAGAAAAGAGAGTATATTTTCGTCGGTTCACGGTAGAAGTGCAAGACAAAGGTTCATGGAAATATATGTACGGTTTCGTCCGCACCAATTTGTGATCAGTGACACAGCTTCACGCAGTGTCATGTGCACTTCACGCATATCACGCTGACGTACGATGACATAGTCAAAAAGGTGATCGTGATCACTCGGTGGGTTCGTCCAAGTTGTTATATCAATAGCAACTCAGTGCAAACCGAGTGTTCGTGATCGTCAGGCCGTGGGTGGCACACAGTGAGAGCAGCCTGTCACTGTTCGCATTCGCGGAACCAATATATTGCCAACCGACGCATCACGCCCAACGCGCGCGTTGAAAGCACCCAGCAGAAATAGTCGGTCACTCCTCGGCACAGACCCTATCGTGGAGGATAACTCAGTGTAGAGTTGATCAAGCGTGTTAACAGGATAACACATGGTCGGACCATATTAGCTTGTAAAAGTGACAAACTTACCTCTTTCGATTCCCTGGCGAACAGTCATCAGCCGCGAGCTGATGCCAGTGGGCTCAGCCTCCAGCTGGCCATTTAGGCCATTGGATAGTGCAAATCTGAACCCATGTTCACGTGGTGCTGAAGTGGCGTTTCCCAACTAGAAGAACGTACAGCAGCGCCAGCTTTGTGCAACTTATCTTACTCAGCGAGCCGGGTCTCGCTAAACGCCGTAATACCGATGCTGTAGCGCGCGCCAGTTCCAGTGCGTCGCTCGGGGAGCTCACTCGTATTCCAATCGAGTAACCTGCGCACGTTCTAGCACCCAATGTTGAGCGCTCTGCGCTGAAGCATACGATTGCGTTGGCGGGCAATCGTATGAGTGAGGATGACCTGGATTGGAGGAAATAGTGGGTTAGGTGAAACGGGGACGGGGAGAGTATGTGCAGGGGAAGAAGGGAGGCAACAGCAGCAGCATGTTTTCGCTTAGCCATCCGCTGTATGCAGCAGATGAGACGACCCTTTTCCTAAGAATACTGCGCGACGGCAGATGCAATATGGATTTTTTATTATTGGCGTCATTCATATTTGAGGGTTGGACTAGGAGAACGACTCGGGTCCTCAGCCAAAGTCTTCGATAAACCCGAAAGGCAGAGGCCGTGTGCCATGAGTCAGCGAACCGACTCACGCGGAATTGTGTGTCCTGGATCCTAGCTAGAAGAAGAGTGTAACCAAACTCCCACCTAGAGGTCACCACGAGGCGTATAGGACATGAGCCCATAGCACAGCATTGGGATCAGCGGACCACCGACCTGTCGGGATCCAACCTCCACAAACCTCAGCGCACCATGGGCTGAGGTTGCAGTTGTATACATGATGCTTCATCACCGCACTTGGGCTAGACCAACTTTTACGTCAACTAGATCTTGTTAATCTGGATAATAACTATGCCACTTTGTTTGAGTTGTTCAGTTCTATTCTGCTGTGTATGCTGTGTCAACGTTGCGTGTTTGCTTTGTCACAAATTCTATGTTGGCTATTTGATATCTCCGTTGTGGCTGGGCTTGATGTGCATGTTGACAAGGTGCCTACCTGTGTATTAGCCACCACCTCATCCATACTGGCTCTGAGACACTTGGCCACTGCTGGACGGGACGAGGTATACGATCCTCGTGACCGTGATGGGCTAGAAGAGTGGTTGCATACAGCGTGGAGTGGACTACCGTCCAGCCATCGCCATGTGGGTGCATGATTCCGCAAATACAGCATGCTTGTATTTGCGTGTGAAGGAGTGTGGGCGACTCCGTTGATGAAACATGGTTCAAATCCACATGCGGCCCGGTGTTATTCCTTCGGGTTTACAATGGATATAGGGACTGCCCCGTATCATCCACAATCAAGTGGGCAAGCAGAAAGGTATGTCGACATCCTAAAAAGTGTCTTGTTAAAATCGAAGGGAGAGGAAACGCTAGATAAAAGACTGGAAAGATTTTGTTGAATTATCGAGTAACTCCTAACCCCAATGCACCAGATGGGAAATCACTCGCTGAAGCCCTCATGGGCCGAAGACTGAGAACCACTTTAGATCTGATGGCTCCAAAACGCCCATCGATACGTCGTACGAATTCTGATATGGAAGCCCAGTACAACAGACGGTACGGAGCACGGCGCAGAAATTACAGAGTTGGAAACGCAGTGTTTGCGGCCTCTCATCGGGGGCATAGAATAAGCTGAATACCCGGTCAAGTCGTGGGACGATGTGGCAAAGTAATGTACGAGGTTGGCGTTGGTAGGAACGTATGGGTTCGTCATGCCAACCAACTGCGACCGTGGTTTGCAAGGATCCCAGAGACAGGCGACCCCAAAGAATTTGATTTCAATGAATTGTTATGCAGTTTGCAGCCAAGGACCTCGACCGGACAGGATACGCAACTCGTGGAACGGACTGGAAGTGAACACCGAGTAAGGCCACAACGGGTAATATGTGTGCAAGCCTTGCAGGTCGATCCCCGAGGGAAGACCTATACAACTACCAGCTTAACTATTTCAACAAGGGGGAGGTGTTAAGTCTCGAACGGTCTGCTCCGAACAAAATTGCGCTGTCTGAGAATCAAGTCGAGTTGGCGCCTCTGATTCAGACCAAATCTTGTAACTTGCATGGAAAAACAGAATTTCACGCAGACCAAAGTCAAATGTGCACAGAAACGAAACAAATTGACTTGTTCCGGAAGGTAAGTGAGCAACTCCCCACAAGTAACCGTGGGGCTTGTACCAGAACAGTCTCAGTTACAAGCAGACTAGTGTTTTGTGTGTTGCAGAACATTTGTTACTATGGCTCGTTTCACACCACTCACACGTCCCATGATTCTTGAGATCTATAAATTCAAACTAGCACACAGCCGTGATTTGAATTGTACCGGTGTGTTTTCTTTCCCACGTCGGTCCGTTCTGTTTCACAAATATACTTCTCGTCCGGTGGGTTGTCTCTTGACTCGCGTGGCGCAATTTAAGAAGCTGCTAAGTCGAACCTCTGAGGACACAGCATAAACATAATGTGAAAATGCCATCGAAATTCGCAGACTGTGTAACCAGTCGCAGCTTCGTGCTAGTCCTGTAATCAGATTTCAATGAGGCAGCAGTCATCAGTGGCGTTAGTTTCTGGTGTGCGAGTAAGGGCTGTCTGAGGCCAATGTGCATCAGTGTGCAAAAGTTAAAGATTGCCAGGTTAAATTGGGAACTGGGAGGCAGAAAAGATTTGCAAATACTACTTGACAATGGGTAAGTTTTCGTGTAAAAGGACAACCGGTAGCAACGTATCACGACGCATTCCCTGTGAAACAGTGTGGCTGGAAGAAGGTTGTCAAGTTCAGATGGCTACTTCTGGCCAAATAGCATCACTCAGAGTACATCCATGGCGGGGACTATGATCTCGACAGCCAAAATGAGTTCGGATGACCAAGTAACGATGTGGTCGCAGTGAAGCAACCGAGCTGTCACTCGAAGGGTTCGGGCTAATCCGAATAAGATAGTACGAATCTCTGCGGTGTATAGCAGTGTATGATGGTCATTTAAGTACAGCCAACAAAGAGCCGAGTGGTAACCTACTTTCCTTCTAACAACGCTGATTCTGACCACCTCGAGGATGACAACCTAGAGTGCCATAACACCCAGTAAATGACTTGCAAATAGGCTCAATCAACCAGATAGAGATGATGTCCGATTAGCCAAAAGCATTGACATCTGTGATGCACTTGATGTTCGATTCAAGACAGCAATGAATTCCAAATCTCCATGGTTTACACAACAGGCACGATCCATAAAGAAACGAATGAAACACAAGCCTTAGGCAGCTGAACAAGTGGAGCTGCATCCGGGATCGGGAAATCGCTCAATTCAAAAGCAGCCAGGTTGGAATGATGCAGGCAGAATAGAACACAAATTAACTCTAACCGGTAGTGAAACGGAGTATTCTGTTCACCACAATCCGCTCTGTAAAGTAGGATGGCATGTAAATGATAACAATACTTCCGTGTATAGATGATCGCTTCTCATTTTAGAAATATATTCAGTTTGTTGGGAAATATGTCTGCAGAATGCATTCATTTATTGACACATTGGCAGGAGTTTCTTCGGAATCTATGCATTAAATAAACTGGAACACTGATCGTCCTCACACGTGCTTATCATAGTTCTCCACCAGTGACCACTGTGGGCGAATGCGTTTGCATTCATCAGGGTAAAAGTGAATATCACCATTCAGCTAATCACCCCAACTCTCTAAAGACATTTCATCAATCAAACACAGTTGCTATCTCTTCTTAACAATCGTCTAACCAAATTCGCTGTTTTGCTGTCTTTAACAGTACTCACCCAACGTCACGGTGAGTAGGCTAAAAAAGAGCGACAGCGACCAACAACGGGAGAAACAGAAACCGCATAGAAAAGGCGATACAAGAGGCTATCCATAAGGACAAAGGCAAACATGTAGGTGGTTTTGGTTCCCACCAGTGGCCGGCTAGGGGGCACGGATGGTAGGTTGCAGTATTAAACAGGGGTGGGGGAAACTTACAATCCGGCTTGTATCCACAATTTAATGGGGTGCGCTTCAGAAGAAGGCTGAAAAGGAAAACGGAGTTAGTAAAACTGGGAATATGGATGGAGTGTTTGGCATTGCAACTGACTGCGAAAAGCGAAGAAAAGCCATAAAGTTTTAAGTAAAGAGAAATTTGAGGCAGAAAAAAGCATGAAGACAAACAAGTATCATCCAGTTTGATGTTGCGGTAAGATAGCGTATTAGCTGGTTTCGGGCTGATTAAGAAACGTACAGAAGTCATAGTCCTTGTAAATCGGGAAAAAGTACGCCAGCATTGTTGCAACCAGGTCCAAATAGAATGGGCATATTTCGAGAATCCGTATTTGACCATTTGACCAACTTCTGCTAGGCCAGAAGTTGGACAACCGCACTGCGTCAGCGTATGATGCCGAATTCCCACGCTGCTCCGGCTATGACGGAGTGTTTAAAACAGTGATTAATAGCGGTTGATTGAATATCATTGTGGTTCGGTTAGTTAGGATTGGTCTAATCCTAACAAGCATCGGCCCCGTGGTGAAAAAAAACGGGACACGCGGAGCAAATACTCATGCACTGCGTTACTGCACTAGGTAGTGCCAAGAGTTTGGACGGGCGTTACGCCAAACATCTTGCATCCAAACGAAATCTACCATACGTTTTTATCTCCGTAACATACACAATCCAATGCGAAGGCCGAACGATTCATAGACACCTTCAAACATGTTTTGCACAAAACGGGGAGGACGGTTGTCTAACGTGATTTAATTCAGCCCCCTTTGAGGATGTATCCGGAGGGCTCCGAATCCGAATACCTCGGATGGAAAATCCTCCGCGGAATGACTTTTTGAACAGAGAATCCGAACAACATTCGACAAGCCCATTCCTAGAAATGAGAACCACAGAAACGAGTAAGCGAGAAAAGGACAGACAACCAGGCTCCGTACGATCAAGATTGGCGACTTGATTTACGTACGAAATTTCTGAGACCCGGAAACCTGGTTAAACGGAGAGGTCATCGGTAAAAGAGGCAAGGTTATCCACGAGATTATGGCCGGCAATGAAAAGTGGACCAGGCACGTAAATCATGTGCGACCACAGCAGGCAAACAATCAGAGACCGCAAGAACCGGCAGCACTGCAGTGGGATTTACTGTTAGATACATATGGTCTAGAAAATGGAAATGATGGCCCAATTGGAACACAACCGAGTGTCCAGACACAACAAGACTCCCCACAAAAGTCAACCCGACGACGGAAACAACCAAGACGACTACAGGTCGACCCAACGGCAAAAAGCTATGACCAAAACCATGTGCGGAAAATACACGGTAGCGGTCAGTTCGAAGGGGTAGTAGGCCACTAGGCGGAGCGAATACTCATGCACGGCGTTACTGCGCTAGGCAGTGCCAACAGTTTGGACGGGCGTTATGCCAAACATACGATCAGACGAAATCGGGTGGGTGTCGGTTGTGTGAGCATCGATAGTGTAAAGGAGGTAGACACTGACATGTAATCAGTCGACCAAATATGGAATGTAAAAGCGATATGAATGGCTGGCGAACTCGGCTAAGCGACAACTGAATGAACTGGGGTCGTACCCTGGCGCAATCTGACGGACAAAGATGGTAACCAAAGCAAAACTAAATGCCTGCACATTGGCTGAGGCCAAGACGCCGATGACGGGGGGTGTCAAGTTTCCCATAAGTAAGCGTTTGGTTGAATCATAAATAGAACCGTTTCTTACCACAGTATATACACCGTCTGCAGTCTCGGCGTTTGATTTTACGGTGGATTGGACACAAGGCTAATCGGACCGTAGGCAGCAGTACCGCAGGCGACGCAGTACAGTAAGTATGCAGGAGCAACTTAATGCAAGTTCACCTGATCTTAACAATGAGAAACGCCAGTAGATTGCAAGTGACATAAGTAGAAGGTAAAACAACAAAAGTTTATCCACAACCAGCGAACATCTCACCCACAAAAAAGCCCAACACCAAAATATAGTGTGCATACCCATGTAACAATCCTTCTAAAGGTAAAGAAAATCCATCAAGAGCTGCCTAGGAGTGCAAGCATGGAACTTATTCACTTAAAGAAATTGCCGATACAAATGGAATGAATAAAATGGAAAGTTCACTGTATTGACCATGGAACTTGAGATACACGAGGCAAAAGGACCAAAAAACGAAATCAACACCTTGCAATGGAGATACAAGGCAACCGGTAGTGAGCAATTAAGTAAGAGCGTCTTAAAGACATCCGTTTGATCACGATAAAATAGGAGCGAGGTGGAGTTAAAGCATCACCGGAGTGGCAAACACCATAACTCTTATCACAGCAAGAATTGGTTAAGGAGGGCAGCATCAGATTACTTTCGACTAATCGCAAGCATTATGGTATAGGATACGAATTTTTATGCGACGCAAATATAAAGCAGCAGGGAGCAACATGTCATAGGAGCCGTATAGCGAATGGAGGGGTTTTGCATGACTCATTAACTCGTGAGACAAATAAAATAGCGGTCTATCATCATGAGTGAACGAGGAAGCCCTGGAGTGTGTGAAGAAGCGACTGCTCATTACTAACAGTCTGCAATCGCATGACGGCGATCGGAACCGGATTAAGTACGTAACAAGCAGATTGATCAGATCAAAGACGAGAATCTGCAGTTAACTTGAGCATCAAAGACTAAACTGAACAGTGTGGGTCCACATTATCCGCTTTGACTATGTCTCGACGCTGTATAGGACGTCACACAGTCAGCACCAATGGCGCGTTTGCCAATGTCTACTAGTCGGACTTCCAGTTTAACTTGTGTCTGATGCTGAGTTATCTTTCGGATAATTGCTGATTATGAAGTGGGAAAATTAAAAATGAAAACAAGATGTCTCACCGACGGCACACTAACTTTGCAGGATAGCCAACTGTTTGTGACCATTTGTTGTTCATAAGACGTAGGCGCGAGATCCTGAATGTTTGCTAAGGGCATTTAGGTTTCATACTAAACTTTCTTCGTTACTCCCTTATAATTCCCCGCTTCCTAGGTTACGATGGTCGTATGGCTGCGAAGCATATGCTCAAAACCCGGATAGGTTGTTGTTTGTTGCGGTTGCGGTTGTTGATTATGACGAGGATGACGGACGTAGAGAGCAGGGGGGGGACAAAAACAAACATTGACTCAGGAACCAAAAAGCACATCCGACTGGACATCACTTCAATCAGATAAAATTGTAAGCGAGCACCGAGAGGTAGTAAGAGCAGATACACGTACCTAGCTACACGGATGCTGCGTGGGCGAAGTGTGCACAGATACTGCAACAGATAACGCATTGTCTTGCCAGTGTCAATGATGTCCTCCACCACTAATATGTCCTGAAAGAGGAAAAGTGAGCGGGAAACCAGTACATACCTTATCCCGACATAGACTGGGTTTGTCCAATGCGGTGATAACTGGCTCAGTAACCGAAGCGTCGTTCTGGAAATAAGTAACCGCAAAACAACATTACCACATAGCTTTGGACTCGGACAAAATCCATGGAAAATGGAAGTGTTATCCCGCGTGCTCGGATGTTTGATTCCAGTTCGTCGATGAGATCAGCAAAAAATTTAAATCCCCCTTTCAATACACAGAGTAGAGTGACTGACGACGCACCATCCTTTTCCAAACTAGCGATTATATCTGAAGCCATTTTCTCCATCCTAGCGAGTTATATGATAAAAACCTAGAGTACCTGTCTTTAAGCATTCCGTTGGGGATAAGCACGTGATCCAGGTATTCTTCATATCGTGGTGGCATGCAGAAATGATGTGGAGGGAAGCCAGGATAGTCATCTGGAAGCTATTACATAAAAATACGACAAAGGGAATGGTCTTTATGGTATAACAAAAATTTTCAAAAAAGTGGGCAACATGGGACACCAAATGCGGTTACATTAAACAAAGTAGAATTTCAGAAACGGTGACAAAGACTTTAATCGTGATCTAACAAAATAAGCAAGAATATCTTGGTTGAACAGCATTTAAGTGGCCGGATACTTTATCTAGCATGACGAAGTCGCCTAATCCATGGCACCCTTGCATTCTGTTCCTTGAATCTAGCTGTTCACACCACATCAGAATAAGTTTACACACTTGTTTCTTGACCCCCTAGCGTTTTAGCTTACTTTCTCCGCCAGTATTAATAATTGTTACGCTGGTGACGCGAGTCGTGGCAACTGGATCCTACGAACTTCAATGTCCGGAGCACAGATGTTCTTCTGAATGGAACTGGGCTGGTATGGCACTGTGCCCACCAATATCGGCCATATCACAAATTGGACTGGAACAGCTTCTGTATGACTATTACATCCCTTGACTGGGATGGCTTTTTCTATACAGACCGTCCGGATATCACCGCTTATGAGTTCTGATGAGTTCTAATACACTGACCTGTTTGCACCGCTGCAACATAGGAAGCAGCCATTGCCCCGTCCACAAAATCCCATTCCTAAAGCTGCTGAGTGCGTCTAAAACGCTTGTGCTCTTGGTTTGAAAAAATGAATGATATATGTGCGATTATACAAACTGATAAAATTCGTAAAAACCGACAAACGGTAAACGACCCCATAAGTGGGAGTGATCATTTGTATAGTGAATAGGTTTCATAGTTTATGCGGCGTAAATCATAATATTAAAGGAAAGTTGAATAGTAGAATTTCGGAGAATGATTTTTTTTCTCGAGTCCTAGATCCGAGCAATTAGTATGTAAAAATTACCGATATTTGTATCATCATTTTCTAGTTTGTGGAGCTCGGGAGTAGATAATAAATGGGAGGGGATACTAGGCTGCACAGACACAGGATTTGATATTGTAGGTAATGATATGTAGTGGGTAAGTTAGTTGTAAGTGAATATTTCCTCGTGTTATTTATACCAGTTTCTGTCAATGTTGCTACAGTTTGCTGTGAGTCAACGATCTTCAGCACATTTGAGATAATGAAAAACATCTGTATGGAATTTCGAAATGTGACATAGCTTGCACTCATGCGTATCAGTAGGGGTAGTCTGTTCCACAGATCAGTGTATCTCACTAAGAAGAAATTCGATCGAGTATTATGAGTTGCAAGCTTTGTGCGTATTAAGTAGCAGCTATTACGTGTGGGGTAGACTGCAGTCTTCCGTAGTGCGGTGCTGTCTGCGTAAATGCGTTGGTATATAAGGTTGTAGAAGAGAACGAGGTTGTTCTTTAAACGTCTCAGCCAAAGAGGATCCAATTGGAGTTTTCGACAGCGATCATAATAACTCAGGTTTGAGCAGCGCTCCATGACCAACTTAGTAAATGATCATTGGATATTTTCCAGAGCCGTTCTTTCTCAACTGGCTGTGGACGATAGTATAGTACTCTAGAGTCCGTGGCACTATTGTCTTGAATGACTCAAGTCGTGCTTCAGGTAGGGAGAAAGTTTTGGTGATATATCCGCATAACTGCCTTGCTTTCGCAACCTGATAAAGCATATGTCCGGAGAAATAGAAATAATTGGAGTACCGATTTCCTGTCCCGAATTGAATCAGATGTTGGGATCACGTTTCCGGCAAGTGTGATAGAACCTTCTGGGATGCGGCATCTGTACCCAAGTACTTGGGATTTCAATGCGGAGAACTTCATTAATAAACGTTCACTAGCTATATTGAGTGCGGATAGGTCTTCACAGATGTTTCCCAGGCACATTTGTAGTTGGTCTGGATGAAATGAGTAGACCAGTTTGACGTCATCTACAAAAAAGAAGTGGATGTCCATGTTTGATCGGGTTGCGTATGTTGTTCAAGTAGATTAGGAAAAGTAGTGGTCCGAGCACGCTTACCTGGAAGATGCCGCTGCTTACTCGTTTCAATGTAGAATATTGCTGACCGATTCTAACTACCTGGGTTCGACCGTTTAGATATGAGTCGAACCAGTTTAGCAGAGTATTTCCAATCCCATATGACTCTAGACCAGACAGCAGCGACTTGTGCGGCATGCGGGCGAACGCTTTTGCATATCCAAAGAATTATAATCATTGACATTCTTCTGTCAATCATAGTCGTGACGTGGTCGAGAAATTGTAATTGGTAGGTAATGCAGGAGCGTTTTGAGAGAAAGTCATGCTGTGAGGAGTTGATCAGATCCAGTCCTTTATGATATTGAACAATGTTCTTCTTGACTATTCTCTCCAGGAAATGGAAGCAGCATAGGTGTGATTTATTGGGCGGTAGCTTGACACTTGATTTCTCGGGCAACCCATGTGCTTAGGAATTGTAATGGATTGCTTCCATTGAGTTGGAAAGCAGTCGGTAGTGAGAGAAGGTGTGAAGATGTTTAATAACAATAGAGCGAGGTTGTTTCCTCCGAGTTTTATAACAGTTGGGGAGATGCCATCTGGACCTTGACGAGTTGATGGTTTTATGGCTACGATGGCACTTTGCACCTCTCTTAACGTCACAGGGATATTGTAGTATAGTTCGGTCGTTCTTTTTGCAATTGGAGGATGAAACAGCTGAGTGTTGGGGACAAAACAGGAAGCAAAACTAGAGTCGATAGCCTCGCATGTGCAGATGTCGCGCGTTATCGAACCATAATCTAGAGCCAACGTTTCAATTTTCCGATGGGGTTTAGGGTTCCTTCTTTTGAGTAGTTGCATCAATGTACATACTTTCTCAGGATTTCTAAGTACCCGACTTTCTTCCTTGATTCTGGCCGTTTGGGTTACACGTTGTAGAGGTAGCAGATTCTCGTTGGTCCTGCTCCTGCGATATAGCGATTTAAGTTGCTTTAGTTTGGTTTTGGCCTTGTACAGAAGCTTGAGTTCACCACTATGTTCATGCGTATTTCTCCATACAGTAGGTACCAGTAGATCCACACCAAGGGCAATAGTGTTAATAAACTCATTTGTAGTTGCACTAAGGCTGAGGGTTAGAAATGACGTATTCCAATTCATGGTACTGATAAGTTCATTAAATGAATTCCAGTCCGCACGATGGTTGAGAATGGGTTTTAGCATTTTACTTATTCGTTTAGGTGAATCAATAGTTATAGCACAAAGCACCGTGTAGTGATCACAGCCAGGTAGTGGATTATCAATGAATATATAGGCGTAAGAGATTCCCATCGTGACTACAAGGTCTAAGGTAGTGGCACTTCTGGTTGGCTACCTAACATGCTGGGTCCAGCCATTGAGGTGAATACATGAGATGATTTCCTCCATCCCCGCAGTGCTTCTGAGCGTAGGCAGCATCCAGTTAACATGTGATAGGTTGAAACCGCCACACATAAGTTTGGATTTGTATGGGGTGCTGGGAGCAGCACTCATCATATCGATTAGTTGTTGGGTTTCACACTGAGTGGTGAAGATGAAAGAAAGCTTTTGTCACAAGAATAACAAGCGCTAGCAGCTCCCAGCTGCAAACACATGCTACATCTCATAATAACAGTCAGATGCGAAGCACAAGATCATCAACCTATAACCATTGCCTCAACAGACGGCAGTCTCACTCCCGACCCAGATGAGCTCTGTGAATTATTTAATAAACATTTCTCCTAGCCGTTTGGCACAGGCGCATACGTTGCACAGGAAAGACTGCCTCTACTCACCAGTGAAACAATAGATACAGTTGAGTTCAACTTGTATAGCATCAGCAGGCAAAGAGCCGCCCTAAAGCATCCTTCTTATTTTAAACCAGGATTGCTTAACTTGCCGGACACGATATTCCATTGTTCCTGCTAAACATATTCACCTTGTCAATTAAGACTGGTGTTGGGCTATACACCAACTTACACTTAAACTAGGTCTTTTTAATGTGGATAAAATTCATTCCACTTTATTTGGTCTGTTCTGCGTACCTGAAAAGCTTCTGCTAATTTACACACGTCACTCATGCTAATTGTGGTAATCTTGCGTAACTTTATCCCGTGGTAATGTGAAAATAACTTTCGGACATGTTGCACTTATCGCGGATTCGCTTATAAACAAATTTACTCCATATGCCCACTTAGCGAGTATTCATGTCGTCATATAGGTTTACTTTATTCGATATCTTTTATTTGATATCGGCATTTCGAATGATTGGCTGTTGGTTAACATCCCAGGTGTGGCTGCGCTTGATGTGCATGTTTACAAGATGCCTACCTGTCTATTACCCACTACCTCGTGCATATTGGCTTTAGGAGACAGGTGGTCCTCGCTAGAGGGGATGGGGTGCACGGTCCTCGTGGCCGTTATAGGCTCGAAGAGCCTTTCCATGCACTCAGTGTGGAACGGACTACGGTCCAGCCACCGCCTTCTGTGCGCTTGATTCACCAAATACAGCATGTTTGTGTTTGCCTGTCAAGGAATGTGGGCCGGCTCCGTTGATGAAACCTGGCTCTCATCCACATGTCTCCCAGTCTTATTCCTTCGGGTTTACACTGGATATGAGGTGTGTGGTTGGAGCTGTGGGTGGTGCAGCGCAAGCCATCCCATGGTCCTTCTGTAGGCTCAGGCGTCCTGTGGCTGGCCACAATGACAGACAAAGCCGAAACTGGATGGCGCCAACAATACCCTGCTAGTTGGAAGCGGGCCACCATCCTACCTCGACACAAAGGGGATCACATCACGAGCTAGTAAATTACCGCCCCATTAGCCACACTTCCATAATGACTAGAATTATGGAAAGAATAATCAAAGAAAAATTCATGGAGTTTCTTAAGTCACAAGATCTGATAGACAGATCGCAACATGGATTCCTCCGTGGTCGTTCATGTCAAACTTGCCGATTTGAATTATTGGACTATTTAACCAAGTCGGCTGACTCTGGGTAGTCGATGATTATTCTTTTCTTAGACAT